GCACGATATAATCGAGCGAGAACAAAGTTCGTTTCGAAAAATTTTTGTGACAAAAAAGGAATATATTAAACGATAACAGGAGGTGTCTAAAGCGCGTGGCGTAATATAATGCATCTCCTAGCTGCGAAGTTGCAATAAATATTCATCGGTAAGCCGATAGCTGATTAATTGGTATAACGCCCCGTATAATCATGAAAAAAAAAATCACGAGTATCCTTGCGATTATCCAGGCAGTCTTTTATCGGCGAAAAAATATAAATAATATGCATGTCGTTATATTGGACGTTCCTGAACATCAATTTTAATGAGAGATTTTGGTTTAACCCGTTAAGCAAAAATAAGAGTGAAGATTCTCGCATGTATTTCAAAAGTTTTTCCGAACTTTACGAGCGATCGAGAGGAATAAATCATACTTTAAGAATACTTTGTCATTCTTCTTTTTTTTTTATTCGCGAAAGCATTAGGATGCTTCAAAAGTTCAAAGACTTCGGCGATAGCAAACTGAATAAAACAGATCGACCACCGAGAGACAAAAAACTTAGAAACTTTTTGTTATGTAGCCAATAAGTTACAACGTCGAAAGTTGCGGAACCGAAAAACGCGCAACATTAATTTGCCACATAACAGAAGTTACGTTGCGCAATTGTAATAGGGAAAAAATACCTTAATGAGACTGTGAGTAATGTACATTTCACGACAGGTTCTACCAGGAAGTGTATATAGTGTTCTTAATTTCCAATATACGATTAAACACATCTGTGAACTTAGCACTCCTCCTTTGGGATATTTTAAGAACAGTTAACTTTAGAATCATTTTCAAAACCGAAATCGATGTTTCACGCAAGGACTTGGCCAAACAGCTCTTTTCAGATTCATACAATATCAGCCGTGAATTAACGCTCCTCTCCGCAGTTCGAGCGTACTTGAAAGTCGATTAATTTCCCTTACGACATCAATTTGAATCCTTATTTCTGATAGTCAGCCAGTCGATCCTGTCCGACGCGTGAATATAGCCGACAGGTACATATTACAGGCGAACGTGTTGCTGTAAAGTGCTCTTTATTGGGTTTGTAATCTCGGTGTTTCTATATCATCTGTACACGATATTTTTGATCCATCATGTCAGTAACCTAATATTTATCGCGAGTCTCTCTTTTTCCTCATAAAAAAATTAACATTGGAAATCGATACTTTCTTAATTTTATTGTAAAGTCGATTTTTTTCAGATTGTCAAAAAGTCATCTCGTAAATCTCATCATATCTCTATTCAATATAAATATATAATTTTTTTATTTTATTAAATATCTATTTGATTAAATTTATATAAATTTATAATTTTCAATAGAAATAATAATTTAATTAAAAGATTTCTCTTGTCTTTTAGATGCAAATTTATAGCGATATAATCGCATTTTTATATTCACACTAAGCCAGGTAGATGATAAAGATTAATATCCAAACGCGTCGCTCCAATCCCTTCGCAAGCGAAGAGCGGAACTTTTCGAAAAACAAATTTCTCGTCCCCCTTCCTTCCCCGTAATTAATTTCGTCGACCTGCACTATTGATCCGTAGATTTTCGGAGACGTGACGACGCACTGATATGACTCTGGACACGTCAGACGGGACAAACCAGGGATGGATTTACTATAGGGGCTTAAT